ATAATTTTCTACGTAGTTAGCTTTTAATATTCGAGCATTGAATTAGAGAACGATAAATATTCGGGCGAAACTGAACTAAATAATTTCAACTTCACAGACTATAAAAAATACTTTGTTTTTAAGTCGACAAATGCGAATTTCGATGTCCCTTTTTAATTAAAAAAAGATAGGGTTTGAGACTATAACGTTAATACAGTTTAACTAAGAAAATTCGTGAAGATTAGTGAAGTAAAGAGGAAACCCGTTTTTGGGGACGATACTGCGTCAGAAAGAGCTCCCAACTACAAAAACTATTATACGCCAGATTTATGGATCAGTTTTCTGAGGCAACTATACATCCATCACTTAACAGCATTTACGTACCAAACTATTTGGAAACTGGTTGATAAAAAGGAATTTCAATGTTTGGGAATATGCGATTCACTTTTGAAGCAAACTGAAATCGAGCAAAAACAGGATTGACTTCACGAAAGGTGATGTTGTGTGTTTGGTGGGAATAGAAGCAATTTGCCCATTATAAGGTGATACTGGTCTGGTCTGGTCAAACGATTACTACTGTCATAAGTTGAGGAGATGACAGCAATCGATTAAACAATTGACTATAACTAAAAACAGAAAATGTGTTGTGTTCGATCACACAAACACAAAGTTTATTGACTCGGCAAGGATTATTATGCACCCTCAGATTATTATTTTCTGAAGTCTCTGAAAAACTCCCATGATAGTGTTAAGTTGACTTCAAAATAGCCCTATGTTAATCACTCGTTTTAGTTTTTTTTTTTTTGCCCAGAAACCACATTGGGTGAAAGTGTACATTTAAGAGAGTAATGCTTCTGACTTTTTATACGCGCTGTTCAAGAAATATCTACTAACAATTAATAAAATTCAATCATGCATATGTGCTAAAAAATTCATGCCATTATTGTTTTTTATGACAAACTAAGTAAATGGGTGCATTTGCAATGTCAACATTTCTTAGGAGCTGCGAGAGCAATTTTCCTCCTGTTGTTCGTTATCTTGTTACCGTTGACTCTCTTCTCTTTGCCTCTACGCATGCGTCCCTCAGCATCAGCAAAATCTTTAATTCTCACCATCAATGTAAAAGGCTCTATGTGAGCCTTTGTTGAAAATGAATTTTTGTTTAATGTTCCGTTAGTTTTCTCTAAGTTACACCCATACAAAAAAAAAGTTTAACTTAAAAAAAAAAATTAGCTCTTTTGCTTTTTATATACCGCACCCAAAATCGAAAACAGTCACAACTCAAGAGTTCCTAAATGTTCAGTTAAAGAATATGGTGACAAAGAAGACATTTTGGCGAACGTTGGATATTTCGAGCCCTAACCGCCAAAATAACGTAAGCAACATTTTTTTCAAAATTTTCTTTTTGATGCAGAAATATTCCTAGAGCATCTAGATGCATTTCTGCATTAAAAAGAAAATTTTGAAAAAAATGTCGCTTATGTTATTTTGGCGGTTAGGGCTCGATATGACCTGTGAATTATTTTAGGGGAAAATAAAAATTTGAAAAATTTTCAGTTGTGACTGCTTTTGATTTAGGGATACGATATGTTAATTTAGAAAGCTTTTTGCTTCTCCTGTAGAATTTAAAAATTTGTCAAATAGGGGCTTTTTCATTCATGGTGACGATATGAATAATTTTTTGTTATTATAATTTTATAATCTATGAAAATTTTACTTTTCTCTATTCGCTTCTAAACTGCTTTAGACCGATAACTATTAAGCAACGAGTTATGAGGAGTCTTGCCAATATTAGTCGTTTAGGTAGAATTTTATCAATTTTCAAATCCAATTGCTGCTTGTAAGTTTAGAATTTACGATATTAAATTTACGATATTAGATTTACGGTAAATGTTGCTCGTAGCATTTTGGATATGTGTAAACGTTTTGGATGATCTACAAGATCGAATAGTATACCCCCTTAAGCATGACTCCTCTGTAGACTCAAAATGACAAAATAGTTTTGTTATGTGAACTAAATATGTTTCTCCCACCACATGATTTGCTTATATCTACATTATTTGGTTATAGTTACCAAATCATGTGTCCAAAGAAATGTATTCAGCTGATATTTTTTCTTAGTGCATTGCAAGTTTTATAATCTTTCCATTTCTTTCTCACAATTTTGTCGGAATGAATCCCTGTAATTATTTTTGATTTACATCTTTGTCACGGTAATTAACTTTGCTTATGTAACCCAAAATACTGCAGAGCAGTTAGCGTCTCACAGTTACCGTCATTTTAGATTTGCAGATTTTTAAGGGAAATCGCTAATATGTATATTTGATACAATCAAACGATACAATTAGGAACGCCTGAAAGTTAATGTTTTTTCGTTCTGTCGGCAGCTAAATAATTAAGGATAGCTTTAGCGGCCTTTAGTGCATTTTCAATGACTTCTTCCTCATTTTTGTGTGTAAATCAAAATGTTTATTTGCCGCATAAAAAGTTTCCCTTTTGAAGGTTGCTGTTGTAGTGGCACCACTAGACCCTGCCTAAATCGGCTAGTCCATCAAGAGGAGGCTAAGGAAACGTGCTGCTTGTCGGCGTTGGTCCAAAGGGAAAGGGGATATTAGCTGAGTTTTGAAGGTCAAACATTTCGCATAGGAAAATACCATAATTTAATAATAAACGCCAAGTATTTTCATTTTTATTATTGCTCCTAAATATATGCAACATTTCGCTTGTTTAGAAATTCTTTAAATTTATCCAATTTATATTTGTGCTAAGCGCTTTTAAACTATGTACTTCTGATCTAACTCACTCATCTTGCTTTACTAAATATCGCCTAAACTAAATCTATGCATGTTGCTCGCTCTTTTAAATATCTGCACTCATTGAAATCGTTTTGATAAGAAACTTAAGTTCTTTTTGTCTTACCAAAACAACATTGAATGTTTTTTATTTACCTTTTTACAGCCGTCTCAACAGCGCTTCCGGCAATAATGTGGGTGCACCATGGCGCCATAGTATGTCACGTGATTTGAGCAACGATATGGATTCGATATTTTCACGCACTGGCGCCACACTGCCAAGAGGTGAATATCACAGATTAAAAAGTAAATTTTTAGATAAATAAAAAGTATATACAACACCACAAACGGTAGTGCAATAACTAACGTTATTCAAAGTAATAAATTGAGAGTTAAATGCCAACAGGTGAAAAAGTGAAATCTATGAAATAAATTCAAGCAATAACCTAATAATGCACAGTATATAATATGTAGATCCGCAGTGCACAATCAGAGAAAAAAACAAAGCAATTGCGATATGCAACAAAAGCAATCAAATGTATGTATGTAGTTGTGTTTTTGGTTAGACATTCACTAGCTATATACTATTTGCTAAAGTGCATAGACACGTAGCAAAGTGAATGCAAAACTCAGTAAAAAAAAAACTAATAGTTTCATTACAGCAAAAGTAACTGTTTTAGAAAAAAATAATTACTAAAGAAATATGTACGTACATATATATGATCAGATACTTATGTATCTTTATATGTTATATGGCTATTAAGCATTGTAGGAGGCATAATTTTTGTTAGCTGCTGCCCATTTGATTTTCTTTTGCGTGCTTTTCAGCGCAATCTAGACAGCCTTTACTTTTTATTAGTGCAAGTGACTTGCAATGCTTTAATTTCAACCATTTTACATTTATACGAATATCAATTTTTTTTGTTTAAATTTTGTGTTTGGTCAACAACAAAACAGTTATAGATTTCGAAATAAAATAGTACCAACTACACAAAATTCGGAAATCAATTAATGAGTGCAGTTTTAGATGACAGAGAATTTTGTTGCATTGCATTTGTACACTTTTTTCGATTGACGATTTTCCAACAGCTAACAGTAGAAAAAATAACGAAAGGGAACAGTTTTCCTTTTAAAACTTTTGGAACCATCAAAATGCAAAACACTTGCATAGGTAAAATGTTTATATACATATTTATTATTTTTATAAATTTCACTTAGTATTGCTACAACTATTGCTCTTGTGTGGTTTAGCTTAATTTTTTGACTTACAGATATCCAAGTAGCATTTGCAAATGTGTAACACGCCAATACAAATCAATTATCAATTTAAAACTCAATTAGAAGATGTTATCTCCATATATAAGTATACTTTTTTTCTATTTTTATTGTATTGAAAATTGTTTTTAATTGCTTATGATTTTTTGTTGTTATAATTACATACATATAAAAACACAACAATTTTCGTTACTTTAATATTGTTTCTTCTTCGCCTGTTTTTTTTAATATTATTTAATCAACTTTGTAGTTATTTGTTAAGGAAACAAACCTCGTATTCAAAGTTTTGTACAGCAAGTGAGTGAAAATTTCGGAGAAAAAAATATGATCATATTGAAAATGAAAGCGCGAATGTGGAACAAAGTTGGCGATCAGTGGCTGGGTTGACTTTTGGGCCAAATGAAATACCAAATTTAACTGAGGGAAAAGTGTTCTTGTTTAAAATTGGAAATTTTACTTTGTCTTAAAAAGGGTATGAACTTAGTATTTCGATTGTAAAAGTATTTGCTCATCACTGAATGAAATTCACAATTGATATTTATTGCAAGATATGTATGCACTTCTAGTTTGAAAGCTTATTTCGAGAGGATTTTCACATCATAAATATTTTTCGCTCTAGTCCTACGACGATTTATTCGTATGTTTTTAGTTAAACAATAAGTTATTATGCAGACGGCCCGTTGTTTTTATTACTACAAATTATATAAGTTACAGTAGTAATGCAAAAAAGTACTTTTTAGAACATTAAACCAGTGTTATACCTATAAAGCATTTTAATGGAAAAGCCAAAGTTGAAAAGAAGCAAGTATGTTTAATTTGTTGTGAATCCAAATGTCGATGCGAATGTTAGAAGTGATGTCAACATCCCTAGTACATACATAAATGTGAGAAAATGGTATCATCGACCAAAAAACCAAAATTTTTTTAGACGGTTTAGACGGTTTATTATAGTTAAAGGCCTTAAGAATCGAATGCGATTAGTCCTGTGTGAACCAAATTTTGGTCGATGACATCCTTTTCTGAGGCGCTTAAACTATAAGGCAACTTGAGGTTTCAACTCTTAAGCAGTTATCATCTTTGGTGTTGAAACAAATTTCCAAATCAAATTTTGAGCCTGTCATCGCAGAGAACTATTTTTGAGAGATATACATAATGCTGTAACACGTCCCGGTTTTGGCCTTCCAAGTGTTTTGTTTTTTTTACTGACAAAGCGAAATGAGGTATTGCTTTATTATGGCATAAATTCCACTTGCTGAAGCACACACTTCGCAACAGCATGTCATACAACCATTCTGTTCATTTCTTTCAATAGTTCTCTAAGGTCTATCAATTATTGCTAGTAGACGTCACTAGCGATGAGTTGAGATGGTTTCAGCAACTTATAGTATACTGAAATTTTCAAATCACGCCAGATGCAGATGTCTTGCTTTGATTGCGAGAATGCGATCGGGTTCACCGGGCTGTACCGATGATTTTGTTTCGTTTGGTATTCTTGTAATGGATGCAGTTTCATTTCCCGTAACAACCTGATGTAAAAATTTAATTCTTTTGTCTCCCAAGCTGCATTTCACAAGTGTTTTCTCGATCTTTGGTTCGAGAACGCCCTATTCAGCAAACGGTTGAAAAACGCCCTATTTCAGAATTCTGAGCATTCGAGGCAGTAGCCGGGATATGGCGATTTTCCATTCAGTCAACGATATAGTATATGCACATCATAAATAAATACCTCCTTCGACATGTTAAGTAAATTTTGTAATTTACCACCCAACTAAATTTAATTTCAGACACCATAAAACTTGAAATTTTTGTAGGCAACTAATTTTTCCTTGATACTAAAGAAATTTGTAGCTTTTTATAACGAAGTCAAAAACTTCGTAAGGCAATTTTAGCTGTTTTTTCATGGAGATAGAGCGAAAATGCTCTTTTAGGAAGCTTTCAAATTTATCATTTGGAGGATTTACTTTTTGTTCGTAGTAGACATTTCAAGTTGACGCATATCGGGCTATCAATGTATGAAAAATGCTATCGCTGAAATCGTATAGCTATGAATGTCGATATGTGTGTGTATGTATAAACTTTTTATGCCTACGTTCGTCACAATTTGGAACAGTAATGGTATTTACGTATATTTTACGAAAATCATACTACGATGGTTTCAGTGTTCGCCTCGTATATCTAAACTCTTTTAACAGCGCTTTAATACCTTTCTAGATAAATTTTGGGAATCGCAACCAGTTTTTTGTTCGGAAATATTCAACTTTGGACTGTTCAGATTTTCTTAATTAAAGCCTCATTCGTTTTTTTTATTGTCTGCAAACATTATTCTTAGTTAAATTCGATTTTTTTCACGCCCACAAAAGTCCAATCAACACTGATTTGTTGACGCGTTGCTCAAATAGAAAAATTGCAGTCCTAAATAATTATTAAAACCACTTGCGTAGATATCCTTCTTTCTAGCGTATAATAAATAAACAACAACTAACCGTAATTATATACACACAAACCAAGTATATATTTGATATGATATTATATAAAAGAACCATAATATCTGCATATATTATAAAAATAAATCATCATTAAAAAATAAAAATCAGCAACATAAAAATAAATAATTATATTTGTAGAATATACTTACATACATATATAATTATGACAACCATAGAGAAAAACTTGATTGAAATAAACGATTTGATGCACAATATTACAAAAATTAAAAATAAAACAAAGCTGTTTTCGTTATTTTGGTATCACTATTGTTTCTCTTTAGACTTCAATCAACAACTAGTTAAACAACCAATACAAAAACACACATTGTGCCAGTACAGCAGCGCAGACGTTGAGTGTGTGCAACCAAAAGAATTGTGTAAATAAATTACAAAAAAAAAAAAATAAATAATTAAAATTTAAATTCTTCACCCATTTGTGGAACAACTTGTAAATTTGCAATGGGCCCCGCTACCTTAAATTTGTTTTTTATCAAATTTTTTTTTTTTCGTATTAATTGCACTAACCACAAAATGTTTGTTTCTCCAACACTAACTGCTGCAATCCGTTATACAGTACTTACATTTAGAAAATTATTTGTTTATCCAATTTTATTGCAATTAAATAGCTTTGTGTTAACGTTGTTTTTCACCTGTTTGCTTTGAAGTAAAAATGAGATAATAAAAAGATACATATTGTATATTTTTGGCCGCTTTATCGTCGCAACTATGAAAATGTGTACATAAGTATGTATGTATGTCAGCTGTCCACAAGATAGTGCAACTCAGTTCTTAAAACCCTAACAGCACAACACTATGCGTGTGCCGCGGCAAAATTCACCACATGACTATTGTCATAATTAGGACGCCTAAACTTATAAAGAAAAAGGTTAATTTTAAGCGCTTAGAAATGCACAAAAACTTAAATATTTATTTTAATATACTTTCCGCACATTTTCTTAGAGATTGCCATAGTCCAAAATAACACAAAATTGAGTTAAGTATGCAAAAGGCGGTCTTTCATAGCTCTACCGATTACCAGTAGCTCACTAGCACAAACTATGTATGCATTCATTTTTACTATGTGAGTATATCGTCACCTGAAATGCGAAAAGACGTAACAACATCGTAAATGAAATGGAAAAAGTGAGTTTAGAATTTTTTATTAGTTATGACTTTTTGCATTGCAACGATGATGTTTGTTACGTCTTTTTGCATTTCAGATGACGATATGTAAATTCAAAACTTTAAATCCGTTCTTCTTTCGAGTTTTTAACTTTTTGGATTATGACGCTTGCAACAAATGTGTGTGTGATATGTAGGTAAATTTTTTAAAATATAAATTTTTATTTTTGCTGCCAACATTCGTGCGTCCTAATTATGATTATATTAATTTGGTGAGTTTTGTTGTTGCGTGGGAATAATGAGAGCTGTAATTCGGCTTCGAGAATTGTAAAATGAACTGAACCACTATTTTGGTTGGTACAAATGGAAAACATTTAAAGCAGAAACAAGAATGAACACCAATAAAATGCCGAATGTACACCTAGCAATCGTTCTGCCAACATGTTGAGACAACCGTTGCTTACTGCTCAACACATGGCAGGCTTCGATTGATCATTGATTGGTTTTTGCAAATTAGACCGAATTTGTTACCTTTGACCTTAACAGGCGTATTCTGCAGTTACCGATGAGTTTGTAACCGGAAATTTTTATTACCAAAAGTATTATCACTTCTTACGTTGGTAATGCAGTCAAATACTCGTATTATGTATGGCGACTGATAGCCGATAGGTAACCATATACATACTAAAATCCGCAGTGGCAACTGGCTACTGACTGTCGGCTACTGTGTAAATGAACGTCATATCAACCTCCACTATAGCTCCTTTCGAAACTCAGATGCATTACCTCGTAGTCTGTTTGCCATGACCTTATTTGTAAAGCTTTGCGACAGTTGTAAACGTTGTGTTCTTAGCTTCTAGGCTCGCCGTTGTGGAGCGCACCTGTCGGTGTCAAATGTCCTAAAGTAGAGCAAGGCCATTGTTGCTTGCTTTGTCCGCTCATTCACAGTGAGTTTCCACTACACTTTGTTATTNCTAGCACAAACTATGTATGCATTCATTTTTACTATGTGAGTATATCGTCAACTGAAATGCAAAAAGACGTAACAACATCGTAAATGAAATGGACTAATATTTATTTTTTTTTTCATAAAATTGATGTGGGGAGTTGTAATTCGATGAAATCCATCACATAAATCAAAAAGTGAGTTTTGAATTTTTTATTAGTTATGACTTTTTGCCTTGCAACGATGATGTTTGTTACATCCTTTTGCATTTCAGGTGACGATATGTAAATTCAAAACTTTAAATCCGTTTTTCTTTCGAGTCTTCGACTTTTTGGGTTATGACGCTTGCAACAAATGTGCGATATGTAGGTAATTTTTTTTTAATAAAAATTTATATTTTTGCTGCCTACTTTCGTGCATCCTAATTATGATAATAGTAATTTGGTGAGTTTTGTTATAGCGTGGGAATATTGAGAGCTGTAATTCGGCTTCGAGAATTGTAAAATGAACTGAACCACTATTTTGGTTGGTACAAATGGAAAACATTTTAAGCAGAAACAAGAATTACGTTGGCAACTGGCTACTGACTGTCGGCTACTGTGTAAATGAACGTCATATCAACCTCCACTATAGCTCCTTTCGAAACTCGTTATCTCGTAGTCTGTTTGCCATGACCTTATTTGTAAAGCTTTGCGACAGTTGTAAACGTTGTGTTCTTAGCTTCTAGGCTCGCCGTTGTGGTGCGCACCGGTTGGTGTCAAATGTCCTAAAGTAGAGCAAGGCCATTGTTGCTTGCTTTGTCCGCTCATTCACAGTGAGTTTCCACTACACTTTGCTATTGACTTTAGAGTGGTCAGAAATTTTCTCCAGACCGAAGTCTTGTGATTCAGTAGTGACTACTACTATGTCGGTCTTCTCTGCGTTAACGCTCACATTAATTCCGTAGCCCATTCGTTCATGGGCTTTCTCGTCTTGCTCGCCAGAGAGCTGAGGGTCAACAGTTAATTTCCGTCGATGATGATTGAAACGTCATCCATATAAGCTCTTAGCATAGCTTCACTTCTTTCTAATTTCANGGGCTTTCTCGTCTTGCTCGCCAGAGAGCTGAGGGTCAACAGTTAATTTCAGTCGATGATGATTGAAACGTCATCCATATAAGCTCTTAGCATAGCAGTCAGTATTTTGCCAGCAACGAGCGTCAAAACGTAGCGTACATGAGTATTATTGAGTTATATTGACAAAACTAAGGTATTGGTAAATTTTCGGAAACAAATTTCCATATTTATTGTTGCTTCGTGTGTTAGGCGGAACCTTTTCCTCTACATTGGCTGCAAAAACAGAAAAGCTATAAAACAAAACTAAGCTTTGGTCTGATGTACCTATGTAGATGTGCGTCGTGCCGGCGCATCGTGGCAACGGTTTTATGCTTTTATAAGTTCGGTGAATAATAACTTTTTCGGCTAGCTTGTTAAATTTTTTTGTTTCATTAAAAATTTTACTTAACTGTACGACAAACGTTTTCAACTCTCCAAATCTGCTTTAATGTTTTCCAAACAGTTTTTTACATTTATTAATTTATTTCTATAAAGTTTATGTATTCTATAAGTTCTTATTCTTAAGTTATGTTCTGTAAAAAGTTAGCAAAAAATTATACTTACATATATACATATCGTTACTAACAAAACAAAGATTTTCTTGTACATTTTAAAGCTTTTCTTTTATATTCAANTTTATGCTTTTATAAGTTCGGTGAATAATAACTTTTTCGGCTAGCTTGTTTACTGCACGACAAACGTTTTCCACTCTCCAAATCTGCTTTAATGTTTTCCAAACAGTTTTTTACATTTATTAATTTATTTCAATAAAGTTTATATATTCTATAAGTTCTTATTCTTAAGTTATGTTCTGTAAAAAGGTAGCAAAAAATTATATTTACATATATACATATCGTTACTAACAAAACAAAGATTTTCTTGTACATTTTAAAGCTTTTCTTTTATATTCACACTTGCTGTTTAAAGTACTAAAATGTGTAAAAATAAATCCATAATCACTAAATGTCAGTCAGTTCATTTCACGCAAAAGAGAAATGCATAAACATAACCAACAATTACACACGCCTATAAAAACACACAAAATAATCATAAAAAAAAACAAAACAAATTTCTGAGTTCTGGGCTTTTTTGATGGTAAAAATATGTACATACATACATATATACATAATCTTTAAAAGCAGTATATAAAACTACATATATACCAAATTTTTTGCCAGCTCGTATGCAGCTAAGATTTTTCGAAATAAGAAATGAAAATAAAAACAGCATAAATCATTTATTTTAAAGTTGTGAATGTCTCATTGTCGAAATGTAAATGTGGCAATTACATAAGTTATTTTTTCTTCACATTATTTACAAAACGTTAAGCTGAAAATAAGTACTACATATAGAGCACATTTGATGCTTATGAAAATGTATTAAGCGTCATGATAATGGTATATTACATAAAATCCTATTTTAAACAAAATATTAAAAAAAAAATGTCCAAAACTTTGAATACGACTATTGTTTATAATGTTAATATTAATAAGCATAATAAAAATAATATTCAGTACTAATCTTAAATCGTTGTGCACAGCTCATACATTTGCTAGAGAAATCGTTGTTGTTTCAATACAAGTTTTAATTTTTGAACATTTTTTTGTCATGAAACTTAAATATGTCACTGTATTTAGCATAACTACTAAGCAAGCAAATGAAATTTGTTACAAATACTAATGCGCTGTCTCGTGTTGTTGTTTAAAGCATTTTTTTGTGTTCTATTAGAAAAGTTCTAAACCGCAATTTAGCTACCCTAACAATTAATAAAGAATTTTTGCAAAATGTTTTTATTTTTTTTTTTATCAATCAAAAGCTAGAAATTACCCTATATATTATTTAGTAAAAAATGTTGTCTTATATTATGTTGCTACGCTTTTTTAACGTTGTAATTTATTGCTGATTAATTTATTTAACACCTTTTATTTTATTCATGTTTCTTTCTATTATTGTTTGCAGTGGGTTTACGCATTCCCAAAGCGCATGCGCTACTTAACAGTAAATGCAGCTTTCCTACTGCAACAACAACTACCACAACTACTACCATAATGCCAAAAACTAAAACCAATATTTGTACTACCACTACAATAAGTACTACTACCACAATACCAAAACAACAACAACAACAACAACAACAACAGCAACAACAACAAACGAAAACAATAACTCAAACGAAAACCAGTAGTGATCCTGGCATTGGCAGCAGTAACCTCAGCAACATCAATAATATTAGATATATTAAACCATTTATAGAAAAGACGAAAAAATCCACCACAACCATAACGGCGAGCGCCACAGCACAATTGACTAAGCCATCCAATACAAAAGTGTAGAAAACAGCAATAATACCTAATAATACTATAATAATCATCATTAAAAAAATCCATAAAAAAACAAAAGCATTAAAACCACTACTACACTAAATATATAAAAAAAAACCAAAATTGGCTTTAAATGTTTTAAAAAAATTCGTATATATTTATTTTATTTTGTAAATGCCTAATTAGTTTATTCGACATATACTACTTAATAGAATTTTTGTGTTTTAACATAATTTTGTACACGCTTAACTCAACCCTGTGCTATGTCCTAACTATTTTTAGTTAAACTGTCTTATCCATGTTGTAAACACATACGCAAATAACATACACACATTCATAGAAAATAACATAAAAACATACACACAAACACGCATAGATATGGACGTACATAAGTACATGGAAATACTATGTAAAAGTTTTAACATTGACTACTTACCCTTGTGGTCAGTTGATTAAGTCAAGTGACATTTTGACTAGTCTTGCTAATTTTTCTATTGTTTATTTAATGTTTATATTTTTTTTATAAAATTCTAGTTCTATAATTTATAAATAACTAGCGCCACTTAAATCCACATTTAAAACTTTGTGCAAAAATTATTAAAAAATCAACAAACAACAACATTTGCACCCGCAAGTTTTTCAGAATTCAAAATTCTGGGTATGCAGTTTTGTACCTCATTAAATGTTAGTGGGTTAAAGTGCAAATATCAAGACGCTAGGAAATCGTGTTGATTTTTAATATATTTTTTTTTTGGTTGACGGTGTTGTGCAATTTCTTCCATATAAATTATGCGCGACCATTTCGTTTGTATGGCAGATAATGCCTAGCACCATCAGCAAAAAAAAATTAATTATTAAAAATCAACGCGACTTTCTGGCGTTTTAAAATTTGCACTTTAACATATTAAATCAAAAGAGCTACAAAACTGCATACCCAAAATTTTTCTAAAACTCTGAATAAGAAGTTTAAAATTTTCGGATGCAAATGTTAAAGTTTGTTGAATTTTTTTGGTTAGGTAAAGTGCTACACTTTTATAAAAGAAAAAAAAAAAACATTGAATAAACAACAGACGGATAGCCAAAACAAGTAAAAAGGTCACTTGACTTAGTCAGCTGACCACAAGTGTACATACATAAACATGCATAAGTACATGGAAACATGTAAAAGTTTTGACATTGACTACTTACATACATAGATATGTATGTATTTGCAAAAAGAACTAATCGATTTTCTTACAAACATTTTTATTTCTTTTCAAACCGCAAATTTTGCTTAAAACTTTATATATGTATGTACATAAATATTTGGATATATAATCACATCTTTTCCCAAACAAGCTATTTGACAAGCGAAACATTTATTTGCACTCGTATAAAAATTCATGAAATATGATTACAATAAAGTTTAGTTAATCCAAACGAAGGGGAAAAACGAATGTTTTTAATATCCAAAACTAATTTTACTCATAAAACATTACTCACAGATGTTTAGTAAACAAAATACTCTGCTGTGATTAATCTCAAAAAAGAAGAAAGAAGAAGTTCATTCTCAAAAGAAGAAGATATTCAAAGGATGCATGCCCTTTCTACCGAAAGGATAGGCACAGAGTCTAATCTACTTAAGTCCTCTACTGCTCTCTGGTAGTTATTTCTTTCTCAGTTTACCTACACGGTGATTGTAAGTCTCTTGGAGTAAACCAATTCAGTCCGCAAAATGGTTTCCTCATCACAAAGACAAAACGATGTGCTTTTTATTGTCAAAACTCGTTTCCTTCGATCTCTTAGTAATCTACTATTCAACATAGTATTCAAAAACTTAAAAACACAAAGCATCAGTCTCAGATTTTGATATTTTGGAATACACTCCGTGTTACTCGCTGCCAAGTGTTGAAAAGTGTATAAGCTCTCCTTCAGCACTCCTATTGTATAGGGCTGATGACTAAGCTTAGCGGTTTGAAAAGGCAATCAATTAGATAAACAACATCTAAAACCCCTTCAAATTTTAATCTAAATCGGATCGAGATGGTTAGCAACCCGATGTGGAATACTGTGAGCTATTATATGTCCATTGCAATAGAACTCTAACGCCGAGTCCGTAAACACCCCGTCAAGTTCTGTTTTCCATTCGTGACCTGTTTGGGTTGCGGGGTCCCTTTTCCCAGATTATTCGGTGTTGACCTTTCTGCCAAAATGAGTTTCTTCTAGCACGGAGTCGGAAAACCCCACATCTTTCCAACCATGGTATTTACTCTAAAATAGTTTTCTGTTGTTTTTTCTCATGAAGAGTAAAGCCAGATATTTGCATTTGCTCAAGGCTGCTACTGGTTGAACAAAAATATAGTGTGGAGTCCATATCAAAAGCGACCGCAGGGCCGCGTCCGAACAAGTTCTCATTGATACTGTGAGCGAGAGTAAAACCAATCCTTGAAGTTTATTACAGCGTGTTATACAAGTTTTTTTTGTAGAACGTGCTATTATATTGCATAGCCATTCTTTTACCTTGGAATTCAGACGCCATGTATGTACAAAAATTTTTCTACAGATCCGCGCGACTTGTTAGGCCATAATAGCAGTTTTGTCTAGGAGACAAAGTCCAGTTCAACGTTCCTTAATCTCTGCAACACTTGCCAACTTAGAGGAGCATTTCCTCCAGGATTCAGGAGAATTTCCTTCAGGACTCGAGGGCGTGTTTAAAAACCTTAAAAAGTCGCAGGAACTGAAATCAGTGATGCGAGGGGTCATTCAACCGTATCGAAGTAACCTCTCCCCTTCCCACGACAGTCGGGTCTACGTAACCGGAACGACCCAGATTTATATCTGGCCAAGGACTGTCACTCCAGCAACACTCCCCAAAATGTCTTTGGGGAATTTGTATCCTGCTACAACAACAACAACAAGTAACCTCTCCGTTGCAGGCACTGACTCGGCGTTGTATGAAAAAGATCCTTCAATATTGAAAATTTTATTGTTTATTACCCCCCGGAGCGACAACCTCCTTCTACCTGGTCCGGGGCTCGTGTAGTGATTTTTTGAAATGTTAGATTGCATTATGTCTGTATATATTACAGAAATTAAAGAAGGTTTGAACTTTATGTTCTGGTACACAGGGTTTATGCGTTTATTATTTTTCTAAAGTATAGCTGAGGTATTTGTTTTTTGGTTTAATAAAAACACATGTTCGAAAAGAAAAAAAATTAGTTAGGAAATTAAAAAATTTAGTCCTTAATTAATTTTATAAACATATACACAATAAATAGGGACTCATTTTATTATCTATTATTTTTTTTTTATAAAAGTGCATATAGCTCATTATCTAACAAAAACCATATAAATTGATTTTTGAAACTGTATGCAAAAATTATAAAAATTCTGCAAAATTGCGTCTAAATTTTCAACCTTTTAATTAGATTTTGATTAAATAAAAATTTTTTTTTTTTTTTGATTTTATTTAAATTTAGTACAATAAGGTGTTGATTTTTGGCATTTTTTTGTGTATGAAAAAAGTGTATATCGCTAGCTTAGAAAGAAAAGTTGCTAAGTCCCATTTTAAAAATTTTAGAGGAGAGGAAAAAATCTTCCTATAGCCATTTTCTTTAACTATTTCGCAAGACTTTAAATCAAACATTTTGCGCGTTTAAAGCAAAGCAAAAGTCCATAAGAATCAGAAGGATTCGATATTTATTAAAAGATGTCGTATTATTTTGGCCTTATCGGATTTGTGGTGCTTCTTTGGGACTTAGCAAATTTTCCTTTTATTTCTTATGAAGAGGAAAAAATAAAATAAGTACCTTTATAATCTTCGAAACGTTGCGTATTCAATTTCTCTAGCCTCCTATATCAAAATATGAGTTTTCATAAAAAGTGGACTTAGCAACTTTTCACTCTCAGCTAGCGATATGGTTTTTGTTAGATAATGAGCTACACTTTTATAAAACAAAATAAATATTAAATAAACAAAAGATAAATAGAAAAAATTTGTTTAAATGTCGTGCCCCTATTTATTTTTCCACCACTGTATGTATGTACATATGTATGTAAATATCCGAAATGATTTTAAAAATGCCAAGCTTTTTCCTTATTATGTTTTTAACTCATTTGGTTTAAAATCTCTTAGTATTTTATTTTAAATTTTTACCTCTCCTATTGTTTTAAATGTATTTTAATTTATTTCCTTTATTGTTTTCTCTTTCCACAGTTAATATTTAAATAAAACTGCGAAACCCGCAAATGCATTCTAATTTTATACGCAACAAGAATTTATTTAGGCTTGAAGATTATGTTCAAATTGCTGTTTTACTAAAAAATATTTTGTGCTACTTTAATTACTGATTATATTTTGTAACATTATACACTTACTATATATCATGCCTATATAATTTTTGTGAACCCTCTGCAGTTAAATATGTTTGTTTGTACGTTTTTATGCATGCACACCAATTTTTGATTGCTAGTACATATGTATGTATGTATGTTAATTGTATAACATTTCGATGTAAAAAACCATTAATTATATATATCCAGCGACCTAATCAAGCAAAACCCAGCAAATCTGCATGTACCCCTCAAGCGAAATGCAATTAAACTAACCGCAAGTAAATTAAATAATCAAGCAAGCAAGCAGCCGATATTCCATGCAACCCAGTGACTACACATAAACACAAGCAATGTTTCGTCTGTCAACACATTCACAACATCAATGCAGCTAAAAGCGAAATTCAACTAAAAAGGATACTATATAAATAGTAATGCTCATATTTTATTTCTATTATTTTTTCGCTACAATATTATTTACTTAATAAACAATTTAACAAGGAGTAAAACAAAATCAACATAACAGATACACCTAATGTTATATAATTTTTTACATATTTTTATACGACTATGAGAAATTTATACAAAGAAGACAAGAAACAATAAAATTGTAAAACTAATTTTAAATGAAGAACAAAAAGAAAATATATTTAATCATTAAAATTTTTAGTTTTTTACATTTTATTTTATTTTTTGTTGTACCGCTGGCACAATACATATTTTGTTAATCCAAGCATGTGTTTAAACCCCATAACCTAGTTTGTAACCAAACATTTTGCCTACAGTCCCAAAGGAAGCTTTCCTTGTGTGCCGTTATTAAGCAGCTATATATGTATGGATGTACAGTGGGCGTCAAAAATAAGTATACCCCTTACGTTTTGACGTTTAACGTTTTTATTTGTATTTTCCATACCAAACTACTACTTACTAAAACTTAAAAAAAAAAAAAAATCTAGTTGAAAAAATGAATATTTCATGCATTTTCCTGAGTTCTGTATGAAAAAAAAAATTATTCTTGTGGTTTTTGCCGTTGAATGAATTACATATATTTTTATAAAACACCAAGAAAAACTTAGGATGGTAAATATAAATAAATGGAATCGTCAAAACATCAGGGTATACTTAGTTTTGACGCTTACTGTATATACTTGCATACTTACATATTGACAGCTGAGTGAAAGATTGACCTATTTCGGCAGCCATTTCGAAATCGTCCTATCTCAGAAAACTTTTCAAGTATACTTTATTTAAGAATTTGGTTGAAGGACGTCCTATTTCAGCATTCAGTTCAGCGTAATTTCAATATATTTTCAGTTGAGTTAGGGCGTTTTTAACCAAATTCTGAAATAGGGCATTTTCAATCAAATTATGCAGTAAGGCGTTTTTCAATCAAATTATGAAGTAGAGCGTTGTTGAAACGTTTTCTGAGATAGGGCGTTTTCGAACCGGCTGCCAAGATACGTCGATCGTCCACTCAGCCGTCGACACCTGGACATGACACCTGCATGTGAAAACGTAAAGTCGGAATTTTTATGCTCTCACCCTCTAGGATTGTTCTATAACGAAAAAAATATACCCTTATTTTATTTTAAAATCAAAAAAATATTTAGAGGTATAGTAATTTTTTATAGAAATGGTATATAATAGTTCAAAATCAATATTTTTCTACCAGAAAACTCTGTTTAATTGTTTATTTAACCATTTTTTCTACTATTATTAATAGGTCCGCCAAAAACTCACAAAATTAAAATATGGTTAAATAAACAATTGGGTATTATTATTGAAAGTGTCCTGAAGAGAACCAGAGTTTTCCGATCTAAAAATACCGATTTTCAAGAATTCTATACCATTTCTACGAAATATTTTAATTTTCTCTTATAAAAATAAATGAACTATTGGAGCGACCTCTAAATATTTTTTGATTGCAAAATAAAAAAGTAGGGGTATACTTTTTACATTACAGAACAATCCTAGGGGGTGAGAGCATTCCAATTCCGACTTTTGTTCTTTTTGGGCCACCCTAATGAACATTCTTTTATTTTCAACTTAACCACCATAGTAAATATTTACGTTGTGCTGCGTGTTTTAAAAGCATCCATTATGCCACCTTTTACTTAGCAGCTATGTACATATTACAAACATGAACGTATAGTAAATTCTAATTTAATATCTTTTGGTTGCATTGCTGTGCAAATATCAATTGGTAATATTAATTTGCTAACTTGGCAATAATCAATTTGTTACAATGTGTGTTGAAAAAAACTACGACGAGAGAGCGTTACTGGCATCTGGATGAGGTAAGTAGGAATGTCACAAAACAAAAAAAGAATTATCCATCACTCAAATTTCAGAGAGTAAGAGAAAAATCGTTCAATAGAGAAACTTGAAAATTACTGCATGGACGCAAATTTGTAGGAGTTTGTAAGTTTCCGTCACTCAAATTTCAAACTTGCAAATTTCTGCATGAACGCAAATTCGGAGGTATTCGTAAGTTTCGCTGCCACCTGGCGTCCACACTAGCATTTGCAAAATGCAAACATGTGCCACAATTCTGCTAGCAACTTTGTGCT